ATAATTTTTTCCTAACATTGATTTTTTCATATCTTTAATACAAATCTCGAAAGTTATAAATTTTTGAAAATTTATAATTATTTAATTTTTTCGAATTTAACTTCTATTTTATATTATTTATATAATAAATTTATAATCGCTGATCACGAATTCGATGTTAGTTTTTCAAAAAATCAAAATCCAATAGCATATCCAATAAGGTAGACAATTTTGTAAAAATTAAATTCGATTGAAAATTGTTATTTAGGTCTTTTTGTTACTGTATATAAATTATACGTCAGTCTTTTTAAAAATTTTAAATGTCTTTTAAGAAAACTTTTTTAAGCGAATCCAATGAATGTTTAAAAATTCGTTCGTGATATTGGATCCGCCATTTTGAATTTTGAAAAACTGACATCGATTTCGTGATCAGTGATCACAAAAACCCCCGAGTAACCAGATTCAAGCGAATTTAAGCGATTTTTAAAAATTTTTTGTCCGCCATATTGGATCTGCCATTTTGAATTTTGAAAAACTGACATCGAATTCGTGATCAGCGACCCCGAAAACCCCCCCCAGGTAATCAGTTTCATTTAAGTTAATTGAAATCATTTACCAAATTAACAATTTGTTTATAACAATTTACTAATGGGTCTATATCATTCTACAATTCAGAGATCCAGAGGAGTAAATTTAAATACCTTACAATAAAAACTTTACATATTTTTTTGAAAATAAGAGTAATATGTAAAAAAGTACGTTTTTTTTATTTGTTTATATTAATATAATTATTTATGCAAATTGAAAATCAAAAATCGGGCTCCAGGGATCTCTTACAATTTTGTTAAAGATTATTTTTTAAAAAAAATTCCAAAATCGGTTGCAATTTGTAGGCTCTGGGGACTGTTTTGAACCATACTTTTTGATTTCAAACCACTGTGTGGCGCGTCAATCGCATAGCAGACGACAAACGCACGCCTCGACGACAGCAACGAAATTCTTCAGAGAACATTTGCGTACTCATCGCGTTCGCACTATTTTCATATTATAATACACGCAATTATTATATTTCTTATTACATTGATTTTTATAAAAAAAAATATTTACTATCTTAAATTGTTCACAAATTAATTTGTGTTGTACCATCGACTTTTTTATTTTGCGATACAGGGGAATCAATCATATACTACACGAGTGATTGGATTATTGCGGTAAGTTTGACCAAATATTACAAGATGCTTCGACTGTCAATGAAAGTTAAATGATAACTTGTGGCTGCTTAACAAAAATCTACTTCGATGGTATTGATTTCCAAATTCTCAATTTGTGGTGATTTCGCTCTTTTTGTATTTCCTCCTCGAATTTTCTAAAAAAAAATTTTTCCACGCAGCAATTCTTCCCTCACAACAAAAGGATATTCAGGATATCCTTGGGACGTCCTGGGGATATCGATTTGTTTTCGGCGGTTTGGATATCCCTGGGATATCTTAGAGATGTCCATGGATATCCAGAGGATATCTTAGGGATATCCGAATCGCCAAAAGCAAATGGATATCCCCAGGACGTCCCAGGGATATCCTGAATATCCTTGTGTTGTGAGGGTTAAACTTCATGTTTGTCAAGTGTTACTTTACTTTCAAATAAAATAATTTACTAGTGTCGAAATAAATTATAATTTAATATTTTCGGACATACTCAATCCGCCATTTTGAATTTCTAAGGCCATATTCGTTACCAACGACCCCAAATACATAAAAAAAACATGAGTTTTGTTTAGTGCAGAAACATTTTGACACTTTTAGTCGTTTATATTGAATCCGCCATTTTGAATTTTAAATTTCTGAATCCATATTCGTTATCAGCGAACCCAAACACACTTAAAAAGGGAGTGTCGTTTAAATCCAAAGCATTTTGACATTTTATCAAAAAAACATGGCAGATCTCTTATCTTGGAAAGTTTCTGAAATATATTGTGTACTATCTGGAATACTGAATTCCACCCAAAAAAAGGAGATATAATTCCATCGTAAATTATTATAGAAATCTCGTGGAAGTGCTTCAAGGAGATCTACTTCCAAGTGGGTATAAATTGTCATTTTATTTTTTCTACACAAAATTTTCTGGTTCAATGAATAATTCACTGCTTTTCATGATTTGACGAATTGATTTTCCGGTTTCATTTATTTGTTACATCGTCAAATTATTAATTTCATGTCTTACATCAGTCGATTCAGAATTTGTGTCAGTTTTGTATAGTGTGTGTTAAATGTACCAATATTTGTGAAATGCCAGTTCATTAATTATTTTTTCTTTTTTAATTTTTTTGTCGGATGTAGATAAATTTTTTTTGCTCATCATCATTTATTATATCAAGAAAATAACAAAATATAATTCAATGAAGGAATTAATTTATTTACAAAACAAAATTTAATTCTCTTTCTAATTTTCTTCAGAAATAAATTTTTAATCTAATGAAATAAATATTTCAAAAATTATTCTTTACTTTAAAATTAGAATATTTCAAAGAAGCGGTTTCTTTATCTTAAATCTGAATCTTAAATCTAAAATATGAGCTTATTATTATTAATTAAACTGAAAATATTTAATGAGATTTTTATTTGTTAATTAATTTTAATTTAAATAAACAATTAACTTGAAGCTTTAATAACAATGATCGCAAACAAAATTTAATCAACAATTTAATTGTGTAAATATGACTAATGATAATTTATCGATTATCAATGTATATATATGGGATAATAATTAATAATTTCCTGGTTATCTTGTGATGGAAACGAAATTTCTAAATTATTTAGTCGATAATATCATTGATATAGTTTGGATTTAGAAATTTTTTTAAAGGTTTTTTAAATTAATTTGTAGTTAATTTTTGCTTTCAGATCAAATTTATGGTCTTCAGATTGCAGGACAATTGACAACTCAGGTGGCGCAGCTCTATGAGCATATATAACTTTAAAAATTTTAAATAAAAATAATCGAAAAAATTCTGAGATGAATTTCAATATATGTATGTAATATATGACATTCTTTTATTTCATTTAAATAATTTTATCCCTTTGGAAAAAAATTCATGAAAAACGACTAAGAAAAAGTCTCCTCTAATGTGGTTGTTCACTTAAGATTGGTTTGCGTTACTTCTTTGTAACCGTATCTATTTGTAAAACTATAAATAATTATTTCGTGTTTTTTTTTATTAATTATTTATTTATTTAATTTTTATTAAATTAAAAATTAAATTATTATAACTATATAAATAAATTAATTAAAGTTAAAGTTAAATTAATCACAATTCATTTATATTTATAAAGAATACAAAATTGTCTTTAATTAGGTAATTAAATTAAACAAAGACTAGAGATTTTAATTAGAGAGGGTAAATTAAAGTTAGGGTTAGTATCAGAGTTCGTTAGCACGAGTTTAATTTAATTAGACAATTAGTCTGCTTCTATCAATGTGTGCTGGCAGTAAAAAAACATTTAGTTAAAAAAAAATAAAGGTTATTTAAAAATATTACATTTTTTCGATAATTTTTATACACTCTTTATTCAAAAAACACTTTAACATCAATATTTTTCTTTATTTTAAAAATAAATTTAGCTATTTTTTGAAAAAAAAAATTGATGTTTAGAATAAATTTAAAACCCATTCATATAAAGTAAGTTTCGTGTACTAGTGAGTAATTAATTTTGTTGTTATTTTTAATCAATAAAATATCTTTAAAAAAATTCAATTTGTTATAAATTGCATTCATCAAGTCTAAATAATTTTATATTATTATTTATAATAATAAAAGATAAAATGAAAATTTTCAACAAGAACACTTTATTACTTACTTAAATATTAGGAAAATTAAAATAAAATAATTAACCCACTTTTAATGTCAACTTAATTGGAAATTTTGCATTAATTTGTAAATATAGAAATAATTTTTTTTACTTTATTTAATATAGGAAGTGTCAATATGTGTGATAGTACAAAGCCTTGACCCAGCAAACACTTAAGCTTTCTGTGTATTATAATGTTGCAATCATCATGCAACTTATTTTCTACGTCCTCATTATACGCGCATTTTAATATTCTTATTCAATATAAATAAATATATATATATATTTTTTTTTTCAAATAAGGAAAATATATTTAAACTAGTTTTATGGTTTATTTTATGATCTTATTTTATAAATAAATAAATAAATAAATATATATATACATAATTATTAAGTGATAATATAATAAGATGCAATAAAATTGATTAATTTTTATATTGCAACGATATATGTATACCATTGTATTCAATTTTATGGATGTATAATAAAAAGTAGCGAAAAAAAAAATGCAAGGATGGCAAATAATATTTTTATTTATTTAATTGAAAAAAAAAATAATAATTTTTTCATTTGAAAACTTAAGAGTAGTTAATAAATTGAATTATTCCTGTGTCAATTGAAATATTTAGTGCATAATTATTGGTAATCTAAATCAATGGATGCCAAAATAAAAATGAATTTATTAACAAATGAATGTCGAATCGCTTATAAATCATGTATTAATGGTCAACCTTGTGTAGTTGATAAAGTATGCAAATAATTTTTTTTCCCTGATACCGTTAACCTAATAATTAATTGTGATGTAACAAAAGTAGGGAATTTTATTTTTCAAATATAAAAATTAAATTTTATAAATAAATCTTAATGTTTTCTCTCTTCTCCTTTTTTCTTTTACAACGAAATTTGTTATTTTATTTGTAATTTAATAAAACGTTTGCATTTTAAGATAAAAAAAAATCACTACTCTAATTTGCAAATAATTACATTCATAAATGCAATATAATTCCTTGTATTTGTTATTATATTTACTATATTGCACATAATTTTTTAAAATTAGGTAATAAAAATTGTTTCTGATAAGGCAGGGAAAAAAAAAGTACTTGGATGCTATGACAAAAATGTTGAAAGTGAGAGTACTGATAATTCCAAACGAAAATATTAATTATTTTCATTTACCTTTGATGTATCTTTGTGCTTGGTAATATTTTTTACCAAAGCAAGCGTCTCCATCTTTCGCGACATTATTTCTTGGGATTCTCTCTTTTTTTTTCCTTGCACGTGTTAAAAACCGGCAACAACCTCTCTCTCTCTCTCTCTCTCTACATTTCCATCACGAGAGAAGTTTTTTCTGAACGATAGAAAATAATGGAAAATATTTTTTTTTGCAATATTTCAAAAGACAATAAATTTGTTTAATGTAAATTATTTTTAAGAGAAAGTAAATTGATTGACATTGAAGTTGGTTTTTTTTTTCTATATACACGCACGAATAAGAAAATGTCGGTGCGAATACGAGTTCAGTTTGTCTGACTTGGTCTGACTCTGGCCTTAACGTTACTACTGGTACGCACGTCACACGTCACGTGACATACCCAACTGGCAGATGACTACGATCAATGTAAAGACGAGGCTTGTATATATGATTCGATTCTGCGTACTGAATTTGCCAATAAGCGGCGTTTTCAAATGGAAATTAGCCTGACATGTATATATACATTTGATCGCAAAACTTAATTTATGATAATTAAATTGTATCGCATTCGAACTCTTGTGATTAAGGTTTCCATTTTGTTGTTTAATATAAACAGATATGTGGTAAATTTTACATAGATTAGAAAAAGGACACATGTAAGATGATATCTTAGTGACGGTGTTAATAAATCAGAAATTGACACAAGAAATGGATTCGTCGAAGATCATCACCGAAAAATAGAAATTATAGAAATTTTTATACTTGAATATAATAATTTTATTTAAATTTATTATTATGAAAGCAAATCGTAAAATATTTCTGAGCTCTTTAAACATTCGGATATTTTGAATATCCTGCGGACATCCTATATAGATATTCTAACATGAAGTCGTTACAGTTGCGATAATCGAATAATAAGTTATAAGTGTTATTTATAATATTATCATTATAAATATATAATAGTCAATTACACTAGTTTACAGAGATTTTGATTCACAAAATTTAACCCTTATTTCCCATGTAAAATGACCCGCTGAATCCGAAAATAAAGTCCAAATTTAAGGGGTTACACCACTGAAGAATTTTTAAAAATTCGAAATTTTTTTTAGCTTAAAAAATTCTTTGAACCTTTTACATGTTCTATTTCAATCAATAGATCTTTTATTTGTGCTGTCAAAAATAGTGTGGATTTTCATCTCAAAGATAAGAAACATTATTTACGATCTAAAGATTAAATTGGCAGTTTCGTCTTCTATCGGCGAATTAATTAATCGAACCCACATTAAAAATAAACATTATTAAGTTAAATGTTCATTTTGACTTTTAATGGCAACTTGGTTCCTCCAGGGAATAGAAAATTTTAAAGAATTGTTGAAAATTATAATAATTAAATAATTAATTTTTCTCGTTCGTAACATTAGAATAAGGGACAAAAGGTAGGAAAATTTTTTCCTTTAAATTTCGCATTCCTTCCCTAACCATGCCAGCTACTTCAAACCGCGACTACTTGCAGTAAGTTTGTTACCTGCTCGTCGGGTCCACTTAACACGTTTGAATTCAACTTCGAACTTTTCTAATTCACTAAAAGATGTCATTAGAAGGTCAACTATATGGTCTTGGAATAGCAGACTAATGGTAAAAAAAATTTTAGTACTTAAATTTATTAATTTTTTCTGCATTAAACACATGTCAAAACTTTAAACACGTTTTTCACGAAACACGATTTTTCAAATCTGCACGCAGATTAACTCAATCAATTTTCATTTTTTTCAATCCAAATTTTTATCATATCTTTAAAACAACATTCCTCACAGAAATACGTTGCCGATTTTCGATATGATAAAATTTCTATTTCTTAGGGACGAAAAATCGATTTGTAATTTTAAAAGCTCGCAATTAAAAAAAATGAATATTTTCAAAATCGGCCCCTCATAACCCCTGAGTAATAATTTTTAAGTATTTTTAAATCATTTTTGCCATTTTTTGAAAAATTGTCCGACACATTGGCTCCGCCATTTCGAATGTTTGAAATCTAACTTTAGATTCGTAATCAGCGACCCCAAAAACCCCCGAGTAACAATTTTTAAGTATTTTTAAATCTTTTTTGCTATTTTTTAAAAAAATTGTCCGCCATATTGGCTCCGCCATTTTGAATTCTTGAAATATGACTTTAGATTCGTAATCAGCGACCCCAAAAACCCCCGAGTAACAATTTTTAAGTATTTTTAAATCATTTTTGCCATTTTTTGCAAAATCGTTCGCCATATTGGCTCCGCCATTTTGAATTTTTAAAATCTGACATTGGAATCGTAATCAGCGACCTTAAATACTATAGTCTACACATTTGCACAAATTTTGGTCATTCAAAAATTTACTGACATTTTGGGCTCACTTATGAGATTTTAGCCTCGACTGCGAAGAGGTTAAAATTTTTATTTAACTGCATTCAATAATAGAATCCAGTTTTTTTTCCAAATTTTCATAAATCTGCGGAAATATTTACATGTAAAATCACAACAATCACATATAATTTTAAATACTTAAAGCAATTTAAAAATAATAAACTTAATCACTTAGAACGAAATATCAATATTAAAATTTTTTTTTTAATTATATACGTTTATAATTAAATAATTTCTATTATAGAATGAGGAATACTACGCATTTATAATGCACTTGATATATTATAAATGTATGTTACAAGAGACAATGTTTATAATTCGAATACAAACATTCCAATCCCCCTATTGTTCTTTATATTATAAAATGTGTGTATTAATTTCATGCTTCGTGAAGTTGTCATTTTATATCAAATGTATCAAATTGTTATTATAACCCTGAAAAAATTATAATAATCATTTATTTTTTTAATTTATTTTGTCTAATTATACTCGACACATCACGTTTTTAGATTTGATATTACATGTATGGTATTAGCATACATTTTCTACATTTAACAATTTTTTTTTTTTTTTGGAAGAGAATAAACAAAATTCTAAATTCAAATGCTTTCAAACAACACTAATAAATAACTATATGTCCAGTATGAGTAATAAAAATGCAACGACATTACCGGGAAAAAAATTATCGAAACAACAAAAATTACCAACAAATTATTCTAACAAGTATGTCAAAGACGTTATAAATAACCTCTATTATTTAGAAAAAAAATAATTTTTTTTAATTATTTAATTTTTCAAAATTAATGAGAGAAATTTTTTTAATTAACCTATATAATAAGCTTTATTCATTTAATATTTGTTTATTCTTATTCAATATTTTATTTTACTATTTTTTAAAAATAATTTTAGATTAAATTTATTTCTCATGTATTTCAAGGGCTTTTGCCCGTATATGTTTGTTAAATAAATTTTTATTTTTAGATTTTTGAGACAATCCTCAGTAGCCTCTAATTTTTTATCATTGGAAACATTACCTGAAGTAGCTGATTCTAATTTTTTACGTAATTCATTGACGAAACATAATTTTCACGAAACTCCAAGGGTTAGTTGTGTTTAGAAATATTTTATTGTTATTAGTCGTGACATTAATGGATTTTTTAAAAATGTTATTAATTTTATTATTGATTTTAATTTTAAAAAATTGCTTTTAATATTGTTTTTAATATTGTTTTTGATATTGTTTTTGATATTATTTTTAATATTATTATCTATAGTACTCTGTAATATCCAAAGGTAATGAAAAACTCTGTCGTAATTCGTCAGCTACGTTTAATTCAGAAAATAAAAATTCGGATTATGAAGATGGTTTGAAATTTTCAATAATATATTATTTAGATTTTTTTAATTAATTTTGTAGTAAAAAATTTTTTAAAACTCTCTTAAAACAGTAAAATTATTATAATTTTCTTACAAAAATATCTTTTTCTAAATTATAATATTTTATTTTCTTTATTAGTTTAAATATTATATATACGAGACGTTGTAAAAAATTTATAATCACCTGTTATAGAAATAACTATTTATTCAAAAACTAATGATTACAAGTTTTTAACTGCCTCCCATTATTTACAAATATTGAAAAATATTATAATTTATTCACAAAACGTATTTTTTGTAAAATTAGTGCATAAAGTTAATTTTTACAAAAAGTAGCCAAGAAATTGAATAACCATTAGAATTATTATTATTATTAATATTTACACACTAACTGTAATTTTTTGTATATCTTTAATTTTATTATTATTCCTAGAAAGTGAATTAATCGGTATGTTGACGAAACAATTATATCTGGCAACTAATCAAATACAAAAAATGCAATCATTATTTTTAAAATCAGAAGAGAAATTAAAAGTAAAAGAACAAGAAATTAATTTATTAAAACGTAAGGTACAAGTAAAAAAATTGTAAAAACAGAAAGAAAACATCATTTAAATATATTTAAAGAAATATTTATGTGCTGTTTATGGAAAATTATCAAAAATTAAAATTTAATGTTTAAAAACAATTTAAATTTTTAGAATAAGGAATTGACTGTAAAACATAAATTTCAAGATTCACATCGTAAAAGAGATCAACAAGAATGTCAAAAACAATTGGCAAAATCAGATAATCTTGTAAAAAAGTGTCATGCTTTGGAAACAAGAATTCTCGAGATGGAGGTATTAGGAAAAAATAAAAATACATTCATTTAGCTATTAGCTAAAATTAATTTTAAAATCAGTTGATTAAAATAATTTATTCTTCACACAAACAATTATAAAAAAAAAAATTCTTAATTATTTTTTCTCCTGAAATGTAGTTATTAATTACTGTGTAAATTTCATCACAAATTTTAGAAATTTCTTGAAGATTACGGTTTGGTATGGATTGGAGGCCAAGGCACCAATTCATCTTCCGAAACATTATCAAAGTAACTAAATTGTTTCCATCCTCCTTCTTTAATATTCATTATTTTTAGTATTTTTATTTTAACAAATGACTATAAAAACAGAGATTACATAGAAAGCTGTTATACCCAATTAATTGCCAATATTGAGGAACTTAACATTGATGCAGGTATAGATGAAGTTCAAGTTCATCACAGTCAAGACGGTTCGATTGCATCTTTTAAAGTAATTAATTCATAACACTTTATAAACTATAAACAAAAAGTAATTTCGAAATTTTTTTTTTTGGATTTTTCTATAGTAAAAAATATCATAATAATACAATTTCTATTATTTTTTATAAGGTACCAAAGTGCATGACGTTAAAATTCTTCAAAAATGGTTTAGTAGTTGAAGGTGGACGTCTACGTCTCTACAGTGATCCATTAACAAAATGCTTTATTCGCGATATATTAGATGGATATTATCCATCAGAATTTCAAAATAATTATCCAAACGGTGTACCATTAAAGGTGACTACTTTCAAATGATTCTAATACAAAAATTATGACTTGAATTGAATTCTGATAAACGTTAGGTTGAAGATCATAGGAAGGAAATTTACATTGGCTATGGAGCTGATTTTCCTGGTCATGGCTATAGATTGGGAAAGCAAGTGTCCTCTCAATATAAGACAACCATGCGTGATGGTAAATCTGCAAACTCTTGGCCTGGATCAACTAATCAGAGTCCTATCAACACAAATAGAGATCTTAATTTGCAATCTCCTTTACAAGATTTATCAAATAAGTAAGACGATTCGAATCATATTCGCTAATGTAATTTATTAAATTTTTTACATAATTATGATTCAAAAATTCTGTCCCACTGTACACTACGTTAATTATAAACTATTTACTTCTAATTTTAACAATATAGCTAAAAAATAATAATTAAAAAACACTACAGATTGACAAAAAGCAAAAAGGATTCTTTCACTTCATCAGATTTGAACAATTTACGTCTACAAATTTCAGCATCACACAATCATAATTGTTCCAATACTCATCTTCAATCTCACATTAATGCTGAACTTGCATTAAGTGCAAGAAAATCAAAGGTAGAAGGATATTCTGCTTTTTTTAATTTAGTTATACGTTAAAGTGTATCAAATTTTTTTTATCAGATTGTAAAAACATCGATGAGAAATTCAGATAGTTATCGTTCTTTAAATCAATCACCAATAAGATTTGACAAAATGGTCATTAGTAAAAACGTACATCAATCATCCAGGAACTTAACGCCAGTAAGGTATTTTTATTTTTAAATTAAAAATTTCTATTCGCAAATCTACAAAGGTTGCAATAAATTAAGTGAATAAGCTGTTGGTATTGATAATAATAAATAACCAAATAAACCGAATAATTAAAATCATCTTATTTTGTACGAATTTTTCAATAATACAGTAATCGTAAATTTCGATCGAGATCTGCTAGTCATTCGGAGAAACGTTTTAACAGTGGAACATTTCCAAAAAATGGATCACAATATTTGACAAGTTCTCAAAATAATTTGAATAAGTTGCAAAATAAAAATTTGTCTACAAAGATTCATACACCACGAGCATCTAAATCTGCAACTCTAAATAATTCAAAGGAGGTAAAAATTCAAAGTAATAATTGAATGTAGATGAATAAAAAAAAAATAAAAATTTTAGGCCTAAATGAATTAACTTTTTAATGCCAAATGATAAATAATTATTAACAATGAATAATTATAATTTTTTTAGTGATCAATATACGCTGATTTCGAATCTGACATCAAAATTTAGATTTAGCAACCTGGAAAACCTTCCGAGTAACAAGTTTTAAGAGAATTGAGACAATTTTTAAAAAATCTTTCGCCATGTTGAATTCGCCATTTTGAATTTTTTATAATTGACATCAAATTCGTAATCAGCGATATCATATTGAAGAAAAATTTGATTTTTGATTACAATTAATTTTTTTTCATAATTATTTGATGTTTAGTTACCATTCATTCTACAAATTAATGATCCATCTTACAATAAAGAGGAATTACGTTTAAAAATTCGATCACTAAATGGAGGAAAAATTTATCTAATACATATATCTGCAAATGAGACGGTTGCTCGATTATATGAAATTTTAAATACAACTGCAATGAAAGATCGTCCAGCGTCAAAAAAATACCACATTGTGACAAATGGGTGAATAATTAATTTAGTAACTACATTTTTAAAAACTGTATTAATTAATATATTGTTCATTACCTATTTTTATTTATTTAATTAAATATGAATTTGTATAAGGGGATAAAAAATTTTCCCTTTTATAAGGGCAAAAATAGGTCAAGTTCACCTAAAATTTAATATTGTCAAATTTTTATTAAAATTCTCGAATTTGGAGTGTATTCGAAAATATAGTATATGATAAGCGATAAAAACAGGAATATTGAAGCCCCTGTATCTTGACAACCCTTTATGCTTGCGGCTTTTAGTTTTTAAAGCAACTCACCTAAAACTGATTGCAACAGGTTTCATAAAAATTTAACACTAAAATTTTAGGCTTGTACACACTTGACAAATTTTTACTTTTAAAAATTATATTTAATATTAAAATAAATAATTTCTTATAGTTATTATATTTGTACGATTATTATTTTGAGTATATTATTCAAAAATTTTCTAAATTTCTAATTAAATTTTTAACAAGTTTTTACCCATTTTTTAAGGTATGAATCAAAGCGATTGAATCAAATGAATTTATTATTAAAAGATTATGGAATTACTAGAGACAGTGTACTTCATCTTGTCAATGGTAATTGACAAAAATTTGCTGATATAAAGTAAGTTTTTACAAAAAGAAATTTTCTTTATCAATTGTAAATAATTGATATAATTAAATAATTTGTTAAAAATTTCATCAACAGATGGTTCATATTTTGAAATTTTCTGCAAAATTTCTATTTTACCGACACAAGTTATTCTTCTTTCTTTCAAAATATATCCAATCTCCATTATTTCAACAATCGATAATAAATAATGATTTATGAAAAAAAAAACGAAAACAAATAAATAAAGAAAAATATAAATATAATTAACTTTTCAAGAATTTTTTATTAAATTTCCAGAAGAGTGAAAGAAATAATTTGTATATTGGAAAATATATAATAATTATATGGCAGTGAAATTTAACTAAATATTTGTTTTTATTTTTTTTTTGTTTACATTATTTTATTTTATTTTTTTTGTAGAATTATTAAACTTTTTATCTTATGAAGACCTATTGCTAATATTAATTTTTTCTTATTATCTCCATTATCACTACCGAAGGTGACTGCATACATCCCTTAATAGCACAGAGAGATTGTAGAAATGATTGAAAATTTTAAGGTTACATGAAAATTATTATTTTTGCGATTTTGTTTCAATTAATTTTATAATTATAAAAATCAATTGAAATTATTATTTATTAAATATTATTAAAATAATCTTATTAAACATAAAAATATTAAAAACCAAAGAAAGAAAAATATTAAAGAAATGGGATTTAAAAAAGTAACAAGCATTCAATTTTTGAAAAATAAATCCAAACAGCACTAGGACCCAAGAGTGGGATTACAAATAGCGACAGTGCTACGAAGATTTAGCTACGTAGCGATTCAAAGCTTCATTCAGTTTAAAAAAATTTTTAGCTATCGGGTGACTCAAAAAAATTGTATTATTTTGATAGATTTAGGTTAGTACAATTGTTTTTCTGTGTATTTTTTTCTCATATTTGCTTTATATTATAATTTAACAATTTTTTTTTTAGAATCAAGAATGTATCAAATTCATAAGGATTTCCCACGCTGAAGAAATGAAGCAATTAAAAGAAATATCTAAAAGCCTGACAAATTTTTCAAGTGTAACAATTTAAATCTCAAAAGTTGTAAAAAAGGAAATTCGAGGCAACGATAATTATTAATATTATTATATTAACAATTTTATTTCCAATTTCTATCCTTACAAAAAATCAAAAAAATAATTCAACTTTATCCAATAATAATAAACTATTTACTTTTCTTCTTTTCTTTATTTTATTAATTAAATATTTATTGCATTTATATTTATTATCTTTTACATAGGATTAAAAGTTTCTATTAGACATTGTCTAAAATGGGAAAAAAAATTTAATTTAAAAAATTTTGAAGATATAACCTCGGAAATAGAATTGAGGAGCAGGATCGTAGAACCGATTCTTCACTAATGCGCAAGTCCCCCGCGCAGCTGAAAGCTGGCTCACTTGAGGGACTCCGGAGAGAGCGAAGAATCGGTTCTACGATCCGGCTCCTCAATTTTTGTTCTCACGCAAGGTTTGACTAGAAAAATGTATAGGGCATTTTTTGTGAGTTAAAGAGTTTTTCAAGAAATGAAAATTAAAATCAATTTAATTAAAAAATAATTCTTTAATTTAATTAAAAAAATTTATCAATTTTTAAATTTAGGCTGGTAAAGAACATCCTAATTTTAAATCTCATGCAATTATTATTTTTACGAAAAATAACGTCCTGTTGTTAAGTGTAACTATTCAGATAGCAACATATTAGGATTTGTAACACGGTTAATTTTTAGCAGTGAACAAATAATGATAATGATAATGATAATAAAAGTAAAAATATTAAAGTGAAGGATACGCCAAAACGGGAATCAAATTTTTCTAGATTATCGAGTTCCTTTTATTTGATTATTTATTTATTTATTTAATTACCATGTACGGGCTCACAAGAAAAAGAAAAATGCCCTTTTGTGCAAAAGCACTAGATAATAAATTTACATTATCAAATTACAAGCAGTAAAACAAATCGCCTTGGCAGTCACACATTTACTCAAAAATTAATTTACGCAAATCACGGATAAATCTATCTAATGATATACCGAAAAAATCTAGCTCATCACAATACTCATTACCCCTAAAAAACATTCTATTTAAAACAGAATTGTCCAAATAGTTTTGTCTATTAAATGGTATTTTAAACAGTTTCTGATTTCTCAAACCTTTTGTGGGAACAATAAAGTCAATACAAGATAGTATAAGAGGGCAATCAATAAGTCCGTTTATAATTTTAAACAAAAACAATAAATCCAGATAAATAATTCTAGATGAAAAAATTGGGACCATAAGCGACTCTCTAAGATTAGTGTAATCATGACTGAAGAAATCATAGTGTACGTTAACTTGTTTCGCAGCAAAATGTAAAAATTTGTTTTGAGCGCGTTCCAACTTAAGCAATTGATAATCCTGGTGAGGTACCCAAATTGATACTGCAAATTCCAATTTCGATCTTGCCAAGGTATAGTACAGCGTCTTTAGAACAAACAAATTATTAAAGTGACATGCATTTCGCTGAATATAACCGATTACTTTCAACGTGACATTAACAGTTTCATCAATATGGGTATCAAAACTTAAATTGGACGAAAACGTGACCCCAAGATCACTCATACTGTTTGCCCTTCTCAACTGAACATCGCCAATGGTATAGTTATTCAAAATTGGCTTACCGTGCCTAAAAAAAGATACTACACTGCATTTATCAACATTAAGATTAAACCTGATACCAGCGGACCACTCAATTAAATTGTTTATGTCTTTTTGAAGTGCTTTACAATCGTCTTCGCACGTGACTACTTTATACATCTTCATTTTTTGATCTCTTTTTGATATAACTTATGTGCATCAAAATGTTGCAAAGATTTGATGCAATTTTTGGTCTCAATTTGATACTTTTAGGAAAACTGTGAGTGAAATTTTGTCAAATAATTTGATGTCAGGCCGAGGTTCTTTAAGAGACCGTCGTAAAATTAACGGTGTCTCTCTCCTTTTCTTGAATGATTAATTGTCAGATTTTCGACTTTCTAAATTCTAAATATTTTTTTCACACTATTGATTTTTTTTGTCATTCTACGAGTACTTTCTTGGACTCGAGTTAAATTCTTATAATTAAATGAGAAAAATTTAAATAATGACTTTGGTAATTTTCCTGACCCTCGGCTCTCCGCTTCTGCCTTACTAAATTAAGCTAGCATAAAATTTGTGTGTCACTAATTGTGAATCCACGTTATTGTCAAACGTCAACATGGCGCCGGGAAAAAATATTAAATTCGCTTAGAAGTGATTGGTAATTAGTTTTAAATAAAAATTATAAGGTTAATTTCCCATTAATGAATCATTCAAAATAAAATTTAATGTTGATCATTCCATATAAAGTGAAAGCAGACTAAAAACTAATTATTCCATAGAGTCAAAATTTATTAATTCTAAATAATTAATCTAACATAAAAAATTTCAATTTTTCTGAATTATAGTTGACTCTCATTAAGGGGGGGGGTAAGGTTAATTCCATGAAAAAAATGCATATTTTTACGAATTTTTTTTGGCTATACAGAAAGAGTTAATATATTTATTAAATTTTTACATAATAGTGCAACATTTGAACAGTATTTCACCAAAGTTTCATTGCAAAATATTGAGAATTGATCGAGTGACAGTACATTTCCTCTGGCTCCCCAAAAAAAAGTTATTTTGCGGTGTTCACTGTAACTTGCAATAGAATCATCTGAAACAAAAGAATCAAAATGGATTTGTTAAAGGAGATGTTTTTCTAGGGATCCCTGGGAGGGTTTTTTTTTTATTTTTGAATTACAGTGAACACCGCAAAATAACTTTTTTTTGGGGAGCCAGAGGAAATGTACTGTCACTCGATCAATTCTCAATATTTTGCAATGAAACTTTGGTGAAATACTGTTCAAATGTTGTACTATTATATAAAAATTTAATAAATATATTAACTCTTTCTGTATAGCCAAAAAAAATTGGTAAAAATATGCATTTTTTTCATGGAATTAACCTTACCCCCCCCCTTAACAATGACTAAAAAATTAAATACCAATAAAACTAATTAAATAAGCATTAAAATAATGAGTAATCAAAATCTGGCTACAGGTTATATTGAAGAATTAAAGTAAATCAATGAATCCTAGTCAGATTGTTGTTAGTTTTAAAGTCAAGAATAAAAAGAATAGTCAGTTTTAGTTAAGCAACAAAAATAATAATGGTATTATTCAACCGTGTATATATTTCAATAAATAAGTTTTGTAAATTAAACCGTTTTCTTTTGTATTCTGCTAGTTAGTTGTTCTCAATTGGGATTAATTGCAACAAATTTCGACTAGATCCAGAGATCAGCGTGCGGGTAAGTTCGAGAATTAGTGTCGACGTAGTGTCTCAAAGGTCGTAGTCGTTGTTTTCCCTTCAAAGGGATTTCTCTCAACGGAATCCCCTTTGAGTTTCTTGACTTTGGGCTATTGTTGTTTTGTGAGTGTTGAGATATGATGTCAATTGTGATTTGTTAGTTTTACTTAAAAATTAACTGGTTTCTGGTGGTAAAGGATTTTTGATATTTAAAATTCTCTATAATTTTTTTTTCTTGTTAAAATTATTTTCATAACGGTTTATTTATTAGCTACTAGAATAAGAATAAGAACATTGATAAATCTTTTATTTAGTTTGAATGATGAGAGTAACTCCAAGTCAACCGTGTCAACAAATTTTCATTGATTTTGCTAGGGGAAACGCGGGTTTTCGAATTATGAGAAAGTGAATTGTAACCTTCAAAACAAGGAACTGTTTGGAAAGTTTATACTGTTTTATATTAAAAAATACTGTAAAAAATAATTTTTCATCGATAATTAACAGAATGTAAATAATGATTTTAATTTAGCAATAATTAATTTTTTATATTAGAATTAAAAAATTATAATTGGCTGCTATATTAAAAATATGTAAATGAATATAATTAATTAAAAACAATTTAAATTTATTATAAAAATGTAATTACAATAATAAAAAGTAAAATGATTTATTTTTATAAAAATATGTGTATATTATTGTTAATAAAAAATTTTTTATAGTATATATTTTAATATTATTTTAATGTAAAATAACTAAAGTAAAATTAAAAATAATAATAATAAATAAAAGTATAAAAAACAAAAGCATAGGCAAAAACAACTAATTTCAAAAGTGTTTACGGACCGAAAGAATATGAAGATTAT